CCTAACATGCGTTTTACCATTGAGTTGGAAAGTAATAATAACCTTCCATTCTTAGATATATTCTCATCAATAGAAAATCAGATCTAACATTAGGTCATTGTGTTTACGTACACAGACCGATATCTTAATGCATTATCACTTCACCATTCGGCCCAAAAATCAAAATCACCCCAACCTTCCAATAGCAATGAGGCCGAAAGCGTTCCTACACTTGCCACTGTGGTCCTTTCTTACATTCAGAATATCACTGACCACATATCGGAAGTTCTAAAGAAGTATAACGTGAAAACCAGATTTACTTCGGTCCGTCAAAGATAAAATTCCATTTGAGATGCCAGGAGTTCCATGCATATGCGGCAAAGAATACATTGGAGAAACCGGACGAAAAATATCAACTAGTCTCCAAGCACACGAAAGAGCCTTACGACTAAGACAAATAACCTCATCAGCTCTCGCCGAACACAATTACGAAACCGAACATAAAATTTTATTCGATAAAACTAAAATTGTTGCATGTTATCAATTCTTCTACCAACGAAAAATCCGAGAGTCTACAGAATTCTATAAACAACCTGTCACCAATATGGGAATCAGTCATCCAAGACGGTTTTTATGCCCCTCATTTAGCTCCTCCCCCTTAATATATATATATATATATATATATATATATATATATATATATATATATATATATATATATATATATATATATATATATATATATATATATATATATATATATATAAGCAGGTACAGAGTAAAATGCGAGCCAGTTTCAGCAAGCTCTGAAGAAGCTCACAGGATGATTGGCGAAACGTTAGCAAGTTCGACTCAGCAAAAACCGACGCAGGAGGAATAATCCAGAAGTTTTGTAAAAAGTAAATCATCAAATTTTTAGCATTATTAACGAAGTTAACCATAACCATAATTCTTAAAAAATATCGTGAGTCGTGATTAGTAGAACACTTGGAAGACATTTGTTAAAAGTTCATTAATGCATTCTGTAGGCTCATCGTGTAAAAAGCACAAATGTGTCAAAGTAGTCGGCCTATTTTGACGGAATTCTCGAAAAATCATTCGGTACGAACTACTGCGTATTCTAAAATCAGACCGGATAGTCTAAAATAAAACATGAACGAAAATGAAGCAACAAAAGTCGACTTTTAGGAAAATAAGAATTTTAATTTCAAGAGTTATTTGTTTCACTTTATTTTCTGGCATCCGAAACGGAATACCGTAGATTAGTTTGCTAAAGTTCAGCAAGATGATGTAGCTCATAAAAAAGAAAAAAAAAACCCTCTCATTATCATTTAATTTTAATTATATAAATTGCGTTATAAAATTTTTGCTTAATCAAGTTTCCTCCAGAGCTTTCGTAAAAGTTTCGGGAAAACTATGCGCGGTGCATATAAATGTTTGGCTTCGTTTTAAAATTCTGTTGCGATATTTCGCAGAAAATGAAAATCCGCCTATCCAAAAATATTTGAGGCGTGTTTTAAAGCGTTTTTCTTTGTTTTTTCCTTCGTCGAATTCAAAAATTGCTGTTCCATTTAGATTTTTTCAAGCTATTTCGTTTTGTTTCTTTTATTATTGGAACAGTTCTTCAAGTTATAGAAAAATGTGAAAGATTTAAAAAAATCTCTCATGCCATATTGAAATTGTCTAATTAGATTGAAAAATTACCACTCTGTATAATATTTTGCGAAAACACAAGAAAAAATGAGTAAGTTAGTTGGTATTATTATTATTACTGCTTTTAAATAGTCGTTTGGAGAAAAATGGGTTTTAATATTGGAGATAAACAATCTAATTTCCTATCATAGCACTTTAACGCTGTCTGACCTCTTCAAGGCCTTTGACTGTGTCAGTCATTCAATTTTAATGGAAAAACTGGAATTTTATGGTTTTTAGCCCATTGCGCTATCTCCCTAATAGAAAGCAAGCAGTTTTTTGCAGTCATAAAATGTCAAATTTACAAAATGTAATGCACGGAGTTCCACAGGGTTCCGTTATGGGTGCATTATTGTTTTTAGTTTATATTAATGATCTCTTTTTTGCAAATGATTCTACATTTAAAACATCAGACACAATTGTAGAAATTCTTAAAGAGGAAACACAGTTGGAGAAAAGAATACCAATATGTGGTTTAGAGCGAATAGCCTAAAATTAAATGAGGATAAAACTCACTCGTTAGTATTTTCAACAAATGTAAATATTTTGGAAAGCAGATCTGCGAAGTTGTTGGATGTGGTCCTGTATGATAGGTTGCCGTGGAAGGACCATATTGCTTATTTAGTAAAGCGCCTCTCAAGTGTCAACTTTTTGTTACGACTATTGAAAAATTTAATCGGAGAGGATTAACCAGTCTCGAGCTACTATGCTCTTTTTTATTCAATTTTTTCTGATGCTGTTATAATGTGGAGAAATTCAACAGATACCATAAAAATCTAAAAAAAAAACAGATACCATAAAAATATAGAGACCATTGTCAACCGCTGTTTCAGAATCTTGGGGTTATACCACTGCCACCGGTATTAGAAATTCATAATTCAAAATATATATTTTCAGTTCACTCAGGTACTCACTTCCTCCTCAAATTTGCTTCGAACTAGGAAGTTTAAATACACTAAAAGTATGAAAAATTCTCTTGACCTAAGTTTATACAACTTAACTCCAAATCAAGTCCCAAACTTGCTATTTAAAGATTTTAAAACCAATACATTTTTTTTTGGAGCATCGTTTTTACTCTGTAGCGGAATACAAACAGAAGATAAAATATATTACATGATTACCCGATTCTTGATGGTGACCACTGTTTGGTTGTCTTCCTTTTTTTTCATTTTTATTCCTGTTTGTTTTTATATGTTTTGTATTACGTTGTTATACCTATTATTATAGTAGACTTTATCCAATAGTATGTGTATATGCATGTATGTATACATATGCATATAATTGTATATTTTTTTCTCTTTTTACTTAGACGTGCTGTAAACATACTATGTATTGTAATCAAATAGAAATCTATCTATCTATCTATCAAAATCAGTTTCTAAAGGAGCTTGATGTAATTCAAACATACACATAGCGTTGGTGAGTTTAAATACCTATATAAAATAGCTTAAATCAATTTTTTGACTGTGACAGTATATTGTTGTAATCGTTTTTACATTATTTTAATGTTTAACATTTGTATTATATTGTTTAAAGTAATTGAAATTTATTTATGCTTTCTAAAAATACATAGGGCGTCTCAAATTCGAGTAAACTCTGTTAAAGTAAGACTTGGTGATTTTAAACCTTAGATTTTGAGCACCTTGCATAACATTTTCGGTCAAGCTTAGCACTTGGTGTCTTACTAGTATGACAACAGCAATATGCTCCGAGTTTTGGTGGTTATAGTTTATGACTTTCATAGAAAAATGATGATTTTTTACTTTTAGAAACAGGTACTATTTTAAGAAATTGAAAAACAAAACCGATAGCTATATTTGCAGTGATTTTTTTACAATAACGTAAACAATATATTAGTGTAGTTTTAAAAAACGATTATATTTTTATATGGATTTCAATATCTAATTTGTAAACTTGCTGCAATTTTAATTGAAATTTATTTAAGCTTTCCAAGAATATATAGAACGTCCCAAATTCGCCAAAACTTTGTTTGCTGATTTTAAACGTTACATTTTGAACACCTTGTATAAAATTTAGTATGTCAACAACAATATGCTCTGAGTTTTGGTTGTTATAGTTTATTACGTGAATAGAACAATGTTAACCATGCAAAAAATTATTTGATATTCCTTGGATTCATTTTAAATTTCGCGATTACTACAATTTAGGTTGTGTTTGCCTAATTAGCTGTTGTTAAATGAGATTTTTCATAAACTCACTTGCTTTATTCATATACATTAAAGTATAATGTAGAAAAGATATTAATAAGAATAACATGTATTATTAATTATAGTATTGTTATTTTAATCCGATTTCACATGAATTCGGGCGTCGATGAACCTGAAACTCGAATAACATAATAACCGAGTGTTCTCTAAGAGCACATGGAATTAAAAAAAAAACTAATAATAATCATTCAATTAGTCGCTGTTTTTAAAACTAGTTAATATGTTAGCTCTATTCGACCTAAATCCTGCCTACTTACCTTACCCTTTGTAAAAATAATCCCTTTGTTTTGACACCAATACATACAACAAAAATATCATCAGAAAAATTGTTTATAACGTTAAGGTTTTACAAAATATTCTGATAGTGAGGTTAACAATAAATTAGCAGCCCCTTATTGTAATTTTTCTTTAATCATCGCTGTTAAGTGACTATAATGTTGATGGAAAAAGAGTGTATACGTCGGTACCTACAGGGTGTCTCAAATGTCATTTTTCAAATTAGAACAGGGAATACAAGAAATCATGTCCCATGAATGGATTGTATTGGGTCATAGGTAAGATTATTTGGTTGCTTATTTCGGTTGATTTTTTTAAAATATCATGTCCGGCTTCGTGATTGTGTTCGGCAAATGCTGATGAGCTTATTTGGCTTAGTCTTAAGGCTGTTCTTTGAGCCTAGTTGATATTTTTCGTCCGACCTCTGCATATATTCTTCGCCGCATATGCATGGAATGCCGTAAACTCCTGGCATCTCAACTGGAATTTTTTCTATGACGGATCGAAGATGTTGAGAGATTTTTGAACATTTATTTGAGGTATATGGAAATAAATTCAATTTGATTTGATTAAATGAATCAAATATCGTCATCCCTGGTGTATTTTTATTAATTATTGAGAATTAGCCGTTTAGATTCTTTTGTCAAAATGATGAACTCGTAGCCATTCGCGATACGCGTTCATAAACTCTGTTGCGATGGTGTGGTTCCGTGATGTGCAAGCACATGGCGAACGAATACGACGAAAAACGGACTACAAGTTTTGCTTTTGCCTTGTTAGTTTCGAGGTTCGGAGTTCGGGGTAGTCAGTCAGTCTCGCTTAGGCCTTCGTGTCGCTTGGTGGCACAGCAACAACGCAGTTCACGGTGCGACTGGCAAAGATATCACGCGCTAACGTGCACATGTTCCCGTCAAAAAATTTCTGCTTAGTTTCAAACTTTGTTCTGTGAATTGTTTACCGGACAGTCCCGCCGAGATTCATCGTCAGCGTATATCATACATGGATTTTATTATCTTAAAGGTAAGAAATAAACGAATACATTGCGAGATGACTCAATGTTATTGTTTGGCGCGTTATCTTCAAACGTTTGAAAGCGATAAAATATTCACGACCGGAGTTGCCCGTCACTTTCGGTTTGTTTACCTATGTAATTTGAAAGTAAATATTCTCGAAACTTTAATATTTTTCCACGCACAATCGCGCACAGTATTTCAAAAAATCCGGCGTAGTTTTCGCACTTTTGGGCAATTTCTCTCGAAATTTTTGCTTTTGTGCTGCGGTTACTCAGTGAGTAGGAAAATATCATTGCACTTATTGAGTTTGCGTTTCGTTTGCGTTCTAATTTCGTACCACCCAACTAACCACAGTAACTATCAATCGGCATAAAGCGGACGCGACAAAGCTAACCGCCATGGTCACTAAAAATGTTTAACGACATTTTATAATGCCGTTCCGGTGGCAAAGGTCACGATTACAATTTTTTTATGTGCACAAGAAGCCACACAAGAGTCGTGTATTCAGTCGTTCTGGGGCAGTTTTTTCGGAATAGATGAGATAAATTAGTTCAATTTTCAATTTTTATTTATCATATTTAATGATGACAATTTTTGAAAAAAAAATTAACAACTGAAAAAAAGCCCCCCCTTAACATTATCGCGGTAGAATATAGTCGAGTGCAAAATTGTAAAGTCTGTTCATAGATATAAGAAAGTGACTAACTGATACGAATTAAGGAAAGACCCGGGCAAGCTGTAAGAATGAAATATGGCCGAACAGTTGCGTATTTTGCTTAGAATTTAATTATTTGGGGTTTTGTTAGGAAAGGTACTAAAAAATATTTATTTATTCATTTATGAATTTATCTTTAAATCTAAAATAAAATTACAAATTATTTTTATTACCTATTTAAATTACTTAAAATTGTTCACATTATATATCAGTATCACTATCGCTATCATCGCCTGTTTACTTATCAATTGTTCTATATAATTTGCAATATGGATATACGATTGTTCTGCTTTTTCTATATGTTTAACTTTTTTTTTTACGAAAAATCCGAGAATCTATAGAAATCTATCAGCAACCAAATAATCTTAACCGCGATCAGATACTACCCACAATGTTTTCTCTTCTCAGTGTGACTCGGACTGTAGAAGGGAAAAGGCGTGCCTCTTTTTCCATGGGACATGATTTCTTGTATTCCCTGTTCTAATTTGAAAAACGACTTTCGACTTGGTACCGACGTATACATTTTTCCATCAACTTTATAGTCACTTAGCAGTGATGATTAAAGAAAAATTACAACAAGGGAGCTGCTAATTTATAACTATTTTTTGTTAACGTCGATATCAGAATATTTTGTAAAATCTCAAAGTGATAAACAATTTTTCTGACCATATTTTTGTTGCATGTGAGGATTATTTTGCCAAAGGGTGAGATAAGTAGGCAGGATTCAGGTCGTATAGAGCTAACATATTAACTTGTTTTAAAAACAGCGTCTAATTGAATAATAATTATTAGTGTATATTTCCTTGTGCCCCTAGAGAACGTTTGTTTATTATTTTAGGTTCTTCGATGACCGAAAAAAAATTTCTAAGTGTTATGCATATATCGTTCCAATAAACTTAAAATTTGTGTGTCGCTATTCATAATTTGTTAAAAGTTGTTATTTTTCTTAATTTCTTAAATTGGTTAAGGATTAGTCCATAATTAGTCCATTAGTAGATTTTTTTAATAATTATTATTTAAAATAAAAATTTGTATTATTAAAATGATGACTTCTTAAATGCTTATTACAATTAGCAATGCATTGGATGCTTAAAAAGGATTTTCAATAAATTTCTAAGTGTTATATATCCTGGCAACAAACATAAAATTATTGTTATTTTTTTTTATTTTTTTAAATTGATTAAAATGATTCCATAATATTAGTATTATTATTATTTACATTATTAAGTTTTTTATGGGTATCTGCTATTACATGTTTCTCTTCATTAGTAGATTTTTGTAATAATTATTACTTAAAATGATGACTTGTTAATATATCTATTATAATTTTCAATGCTTTGGCTCTTTAAAAAAATTTTTTTGATCAAAAAACTTCTCTTTTTATCTTAGTACACCCCGTTTTAATTGTAAGGCATAACTTTTAATTTCAAACAACTTTTATTAATAAAATAACGGATTTTTTAAAATAAGAGTACTTAGCTCTTCTGTATGCTTTTAGCCTATTATTATTGTGGCAAATGCACCATACTTTTAGCAATATTATTATTTTTGTTAGTAAAAAAAGTCAGGGGGTTTCCTTATTTCTGAAACAATCATGGGTAGTAGGAAGAAGATGAAAAGATGAGGTTCATGATTTTAACATTACTGCAAATTTATACAAGTAACAACATGTCTTCCTTCACACAATATTTTTATTATTTAGTTTAAAAAAAAATAAAAAATGCATATATAATATTATAAATTATCAAAATTTAATATATTCATAAAAAAATAGGCCACCATCACCATCTCGTAGAAAAGTTTCCACAGTGGTTTAAATGCTCCCAATTTTTTTTTTTTGAAAATATGAAGAACTTTGATTTAGCTGAGAGAATGTGCGGAAAATAGTCCGTTCAAGAATGCCTACCCGGCAATTTAATTTGATCTCGTACGCTCGCTTAATATAAAACGATTGTTTCCGTTTTAACAATTATTTAATAGTCGTCAAATCCAAAGGCCACGCAACTAAAGCACCGGCACGGTTGAAATTTGCATGAAACGCAGACAAAAATTAATCTGGCCGTCAATTAGTGGCAAATTGAAATATGTATATTATTCGGCGCAGTTTTTAATCAAATTTGCATCAGAAATAGTTGATAGGTGGCAGTTTGGCTCCGTCAGCGATTGGCCTCGATCGAAAATAAAACGAGACAATTGTCGAGTTAAAAAAATACACAAAATATCCTAGGATTAAATTTAATGTATGGTTTATTCGAAAATTTGTCGCTTTCAATGATAGGTAAATCGCAGGGTAAAGTATGAAGGGAATTCTCCCAGAATTCCATAGGAGTTCCAAGGAATTATAAGTATTAAAGGAATTGTGGTTTACAACATCGAACTTCCTTATTTGAGCGAACTGGACTAACTGTATTCAATTTTGTCGTGTTCTACACAAAACCCTATTCGAATTTGTCTTTTTTTTGCAGTATTGTATTGAATTGGCCTTGTTTTTGTACTAGAACTGTTGATTGACACAATGCGAAAATGCCATAATAGCAATCGTTTAGTATTGAAACCAAAAGAACATCGAATTTTTATTTTGTAAACCGTAGAGTAAAGTATTAAGCAAATTCCCCAGAATTCCATAGGAGTTCCAAGGAATTATAAGTATAAAAGGAATTGCGAACTGGACTAACTTTATTCGATTTTTTATATTTTTGTATTATTTATTCTTACTTGAGTGACAAAGCAGGGGTGGGCCAGGTATAATTCTCTCTTTCTGATATGTTTCTTCAGTGTTGACCATTTGTCGCAGTGTTGAATAATCGTTTTTACTATGCATTTCGAAAAAGTTATTTTATGGGCACATAAGAATCTGGCATCGAAATCACTTGTCGCTTGATGCGCAGATTGTGAAAAATGTGTATGAAACTTTAATCAGTAGATGACTTCTTAAACAAAAAGCTTTAAAAGTAACCTGTCTACTTAAAAAAACGGCAATATCGTCGATAAGAGATAATATTAATAGTGGAAAATTGAAGAAAAGGAATAAACGTAGTAACTCACCGTAGATGCCAATTGACAGCTGGAAAAATTCAGTACAGCACATTAACCAAAAATGAGCATTTTGCATTTCTGTACAAAACGATATAAATATTATTATCATAACTTTTGAGAGTCCGTCCCTAATGTTCTGTCCTTTAATGCCTACCGGGCCCGAGTTATATTGCTGACGGGAGGTAACTTCCATAATTGCGGGCAAAAGCCAGCACGATGAAGATTGAGACAGAACAGACTATTTCAATTCGAATAGTATTTAGTGTAGAATGCGACATAGTCATATAAAGTTTATCGTGCCCATCCTCATTTGTAAATTATCAATTTACTAAAGCCAAGTATGCACCTAAGCATATAAACGAGCTTTCCAAATGTGCACATTATAGATGTAAATATAACTTGAACCAAAACATAACTGATCCGAATATATCTAAATTGATTGTTAAACAGAATATATATATATATATATATATATATATATATATATATATATATATATATATATATATATATATATATATATATATATATATATATATATATATATATATATATATATATATATATATATATATATATATATATATATATATATATATATATATATATATATATATATATATATATATATATATATATATATATATATATATATATTCTCACGTATTGATTCACGGATGGAAAAATGTGATGACACTATATTCCGGGATATCATCCGTTCGCTCGTTGAACTCCGACTGGAATCCTGCTTCCGACTGGAATCCTGCAGACGTTTCGCCAAAATCTCACTTGGCATCTTCAATGCTCGCGCTCCGAGTGTTCGAAGTGTTTTCGGAGCGCGAGCATTGAAGATGCCAAGTGAGATTTTGGCGAAACGTCTGCAGGATTCCAGTCGGAAGCAGGATTCCAGTCGGAGTTCAACGAGCGAACGGATGATATCCCGGAATATAGTGTCATCATATATATATATATATATATATATATATATATATATATATATATATATATATATATATGACACTATATTCCGGGATATCATCCGTTCGCTCGTTGAACTCCGACTGGAATCCTGCAAATCTTGCATCCGACTGGAATCCTGCAGACGTTTCGCCAAAATCTCACTTGGCATCTTCAATGCTCGCGCTCCGAAAACACTTCGAATATATATATATATATATATATATATATATATATATATATATATATATATATATATATATATATATATATATATATATATATATATATATATATAT